TCCACTTAGGGTATGACTAAGCTATACTTTTTCTAGTGAAAAATTATTTCTTTTGATTAGTAGTAGCTACCATTAATAGAAAATCTACCATAAGCCAGGCACTTTAAGTACAATATCCATTTTAGCCCTTAAAACAACACTTTAAAGTAGATATCAGATATCAGTAGATATCTTCATTATAGGTAAAGAATCAAAAACCCAGAAAGGTTAAACATCTTGTATAAGGCTCAAAGCAACTTCACAGAGGAGCTGGAATTTAGACCTCACCTTCACTCCGAAACCCAGGCTTTTTCTACAGCAACGACACTGCTTTTCCTGAATATGTAATTCCTAATGCTGGCCTTTATTTCCCAGTGCAAAAGCCAAGGACTAAAATAGGTGATCAGGGAATTCCAACCACCACTGTGAGAGACCTGAGGGAAGAGATAGATAACTCAGGCACACACTTCTTGTTCAGGCACAATCTTTGAGTAAGGAATAAAGAGTCTCTGGCTTTGATTCCCAAGGTCTTTGCCGGAACCCAATATGTCCCCTTGGTGTGTGTTGGGAAGGAGACCAGGAGATGTAGGGTCAGACAGCGTAGAATAAAATCAGCCCACCTCTGCTAACTAGAAACGTGAAGTTTTGGGTAAGGAAAAATGAAAATTTTTAAGAGAATTTTGCAAAAATTCTTTTTAGTCTGGAGAAAACGGGCATTAAGGAAGACCCAAGCTGCTCTTACACATCCATGAGGAAGAATCATCAGGCTTGCTTCTGACATTCTGGAGGACATAACTGGGACCAGTGGGAATATGGTATAGAGAGGCAGATTTTGGCTCTAACAATAAGAGCTGCCTATTCAAAGATTGATGGAACTCAGAAAAGTGGTAAGTTCCCTATCACTGGAGCTGCTCAAACAGAAGCAGGGATGTTGGTGGTAGAGGCCGAGCATCAGAGAAAGCTTGGATGGCCTTTCAGGCCACTTCAGGCCTGAGATATCTGAGAGAACCACTAAAGAAAATGGCTAGGGTAAGGTTTCACAGATTAAGGCCTAAATGAATTATAAATATTATGTAATGGGAAGATTGGCATGTTCCTTCATTCACAATTTGGCATGAAGTTCATTCATTCATTCATTCAGTCACCCACTCAGGGAGTACTTCCTGAGGTTTTACTGTATATAGATATCCCAATTTA